GTTCAGGTTAACAGGTTAAAGCATCGGACAGGTGAGCCCAACCGGCTGATGGACAGGCTAAACTAAGTGCAGTGTCTGATGGGAGTTCAAAACTCACAGCATCCGACAGGTAAGCCTCGCTGACAGTCGGACGGAAAAAAAATCAAGGTTGCTCAACTCACCGGAGTTACTCAGAGGTTGAACAGAAAGAAAATGTTTTAAAGTTTTATTTATTTTTTATTTTTTATTTTTTTATTAACAATAATTACTGTTGTTGAGATTTTTTTTTCCTGTTTCCTGGACAAAAAAAAAGAATGTGTAAAAATATTATAATATTTTAAATTTTATATCACATTATAATTTTTAATGACAAACACGGACTCATTTCTTTATCAGTTTACTTCAGTAAAGTTATAATGATGGTATCAAGAACCAAGTAAAATGTTATAAAAAACAATAGTGGATAACTTAGTCTAATATGTCTTTGTTTGTAAAGCATCCTACAAGACTAAGATATTCTAGATATAGATTTAAGTAGGTGAACATACTCTAGGCCTCAATATTTGGCACACAAACCTCAAGAATGGTGGCAATCAACAAATGTAAAAAAGATGAGCTCTTTACATCACAGCACAACACTAACAATAATGACAAAGCGACAACAAAAAAAGTTTTAAATGAAGTCAACAAACAACAAAACAATAACCCTATAACAGTAACTGCATTATTTATTCATGCTGCAATGCATGCTGGGAACTCACAAAGCCTTAACATTTCAGCAATATGAAATTCTTTTTTCAGAAGAACGCTTGACTAGTTGGGACAACATTTGGGGTAATTCTGTTGGTCTGACAAGGGTTTTTATGTAGTTTCGAGAAAAGTGCATTTCTTAGTATTTGAGACTCAAAAGGATTCGTAAACTGGAAAATATGCATTTGCATTTTTTATAGTGTAGAGAGGCAGCTACATGTCTGTATCTTCTCTCTTTCTTTAATAGAGTTTGCACCAGAGGTGTTCAATTCTACTGCTGGAGGAGCAATGTCCTGCAACAGTTCCAACACACTTGCCTGGGAGTTTCTAGTGAGTCTGAGGCCCTGTCCTCACGAATGCGGGTATTTTCAAAACCGCAGCTTTTTCTATGCGGTTTGCCCGTACATCCACATGCAAACCCAGCAACAGGTCACTGAAACCAAACATTTTTGAACACTCCTGCCAGGGGGAAGATTTTCAAAAACTCAGTTTTCAGTGTTATCATGTAGACAGCGAAACCGGAGATTTTGGCTTGTGACGTCAGAGCAAGCGCTGTTATCGCCGCCTACTGGAAACTTTTTCAGGCTTCTGATTGGCCAACATGGCTTTACGGTTGACATTATATTGCTACCTGTTGGTTTGGCATGCTCTTGACAGTGCTTCATAGCATGCATTTGCGGTTTTATGAGGACAGATTTTTTTAGAAAAGGAAGAAAGAAAAACTCTGTTTATAAAAATACCTGTGTACATGTGGACATGGTCAGAAGACTTTGATTAACTGGTTAAGGTGTGTTTAATTAGGGTTGGAGTTAAACTCTGCAAGACAGTGGCCCTCCAGAAACAGGTTTGGCTTGCACATTCCCAGACCTGTATTCTGCCTTCATCTTTTTTTTTTATGCATATCCTTACCGTGAATGCAGGTTTTTCCCTTCAAACCTTGGCTGATAGGGGCGGGTGTACCGTAAGGGACTCCTTATTCTCTGGATATGTCTTTTCTTGTTCTGAAAAATATATGAATACTGTTTTAAATGACATTCAGAAATGCAACTGATGGTCAAGAACTTAAGTATGCTAGTAAAAATGTGGCCTTAGTTCATAATAACTTGATAATTCAGTATTCTAAACAAGAATTTCAATATCATATTTATGTAATAGTTGCTTGATAAATAAGTTAGCACAATTAAACCACACTAGGGTACATGGATACATTAAGACATTAAGATGAACCTCAACTACTTATTTAGTGAATTGTCATGTATTTTAAAGTGGACCTATTATGCAAAAATCACTTTTATAACGTGTGAATTAACCCCATCATAAATTTAGAAACATAACTATCCAATTGAACTATACACAATAAAATAAAGACATATGGGGGGGGGGGGCAGTCTCTCTATAACAATTAACATCGCAGGGAATGTTATTATCAGTCCCACACTCTCCCCTCCAAAAATGAATGCCGTCTCGGCATTCCATCGTTCCAAGCATCTCTGTCTTGAACAGTAGAGCAAAGTAGTACATCAGGGAGTCAGTCTCAATACTTGATGCTAATTTGTCTTGCAAGTGTCTTCGCATGACATCTATCTCCCCCTTCATGTCATCCACTGGAGTAGACACCACTGGCCACATGATGTCTGAAAGGTTGCTCCGTCATGCGACGGGCCACACATCAAGTGCTGAAAGTTTGGAACCTTAGACATACTCTATGCTCTCTCAACTGACCCACATACCAGCTGTTATGACTGCATCACTATATTTTAGCCATTTATGTGTCACTGTCTGTTTACTGGAACTGTATGTATTAAATAAAACTGTCTAACGAACTTCCTCTTAATTATGAACTTTATTAACTGTCTTATGACTTCACATTGCAACTGTGAAATCAAAAACCTCTATGTGTGAGAGAGGTTTTGCCTAATGTATCATACGTCAGTGTTGTGGGTGGATGTCTTTGTCTTAAAGGATACTTTCTCTGTGGCAGGCGAGTTGCTGCTGAGCTGACGTCATCTGCTTCATCTGAAGAGGTCACCTGCCCCCCTTCTGCCATCTCATCTTCATCTTCCACTTCATTTGCAAATGCTTCAGAGTTTCTGTCCTCTTCATCACACATGGGCAGTACATGCTCACCATCGGACTCCTGATACAATACTCCTTCCGTAGCTTTTAATTGGAGCTCATCCTCCTTAGGTCCCAGCTGGCTTTTGTTCTCTGTAAGTTGCTTTATCGGCAAGGCTGTCACGCCTCTCCAGTCATCCTCGTCCTCTGAGTCCTCTTCAGTCACAGCATCCACTTGATGTGTGTCTTTTTTTCCCTTTGCCTTTGTCTCTTTTCGCCTTGATCGTGTTTTACCACTTTTTTCCTGGTTGTTGTCAACAGGTAGGAAGTCGCAAGGCAACAACAAATTTCTGTGAAGGACCCTTGCTTCCCCAGGGCCACCCTCTGGCTTAACCACATACACTGGGCCGTCTTCATACTTCCTTTCTGTCACAACATGCACTCTATCCTCCCAGTATGACCGGAGTTTTCCTGGACCACCTCTTTCTCCACAATTCCTCACCAACACTCTGCTTCCTGGCTGGAGACCCGCCCCATATATTTTCTTGTCGTAGCCTTGTTTAGCTCTCCTCTGCTCTTTCTGAACTGTTCTTGACGCCAATTCATATGCCTCTTTCATGCGCTTTCTCCATTTGGAGACATAATCACTGTGCGATACTTCACACTCCTTTGTCTTTAGACCAAACATTACATCAATAGGCAGCCTTGGGTGCCGTCCATACATGAGGTAGTACGGGGCATAGCCTGTCACTTCACTTCGCGTACAATTATATGCATGGACGACCTTGTTTAGGGAGCTCTTCCAATCAGCCTTGGCTTGACTCGGCAGACATCTTAGCATTGACAGCAGTGTTCTGTTAAATCTTTCCACCTGCCCGTTTCCAGCAGGGTGGTAGGGAGTCGTGTGGGAGCGTTGGATATCACAGAGTTCTTGCATGTGGATGAACAACTTGTTCTCAAATTCCCTTCCCTGGTCATGGTGGAGTTTAGTGGGGAATCCATACCTGAGAACAAAGTCGCCAAAGATCTTTTCTGCCGCTGTTTTTGCCGACTTATTTTTGCAGGCGTACGCTTGGGCAAAACGTGTGAAGTGGTCCATTAAAACCAGGATGTATTCGTAGCTGCCCTTGCAGCCCTCCAGATGCAGGAAATCCACTGAGACCAGTTCAAAAGGGTAAGTCGTCACTATGTTGACCAGTGGTGCTCTTGTTATCCTATTTGGATGCTTTCGTTTCAGACAGCTACACACTTTGGTGACATAATGTTCCACATTTGCCTGCATGTGAGGCCAATAGAACCTGTCCCGGATAAGGCTCAGTGTGCGCTCCACTCCTTGGTGTCCCATCTCCTCGTGAAGCTCCTTAAACACCAACTGAAGGTATTTTCTAGGCAGCACTGTCTGGGATCGTCCTGCTGATTGTCGACACAGTATTCCCTCCTCATCCAAGTACAACCGGTTTCTCTGCCTGTACAGAACAGTCAACTCATCGCGTCGGTCTCGCCCCACCAATTTTGGCCAACGTTCTGCTACAATGTACTCCCGTACCTTTCCAAGTACTGGATCTTGTTCTTGGGCTACTGTCAGTTCCTCAGTAGTCCCTTTAGTCACTCGTGATGTCCCTTGCTCCTGCTCTGCCTCCGAGCAAATTGTAGCTATGGTGATCGGGCACATCCAGGGCTCTTCCTCCCCCGGCTTCAGAAGAAGCGCATTCGTGACGGCAGCTATGACTTTTGGACTGGTCTCCTGTAAACAGGTCTGCATGTAACTCTCCATGTCCAAAGGCATCCTTGACACTCCATCAGCATCCCGGTGTATGCGGCCTGGTCTATATTTGATGGTAAAATTGTAGTCAGCCAACTCTGCTATCCATCGGTGGGTGGTGGCATTGAGCTTGGCTGTGGACAACACGTATGTCAGCGGGTTGTTGTCCGTATAGACCACAAAGGAAGTTGCGTGATAAAGGTATTCCCGGAATCGCTCACAAATGGCCCATTTCATTGCAAGGAATTCCAGTTTCCCAGAGTGCAAATGATAATTCTTCTCGGGAACCGTTAGTGTCCGTGATCCATAGCCAGTCACCACCAGCTTCCCTTGCTGCCTCTGATATAGTATGGCACCCAGTCCGTCTTGTGATGCATCACAATGCAAGATGAAGGGCTGTTCGAAATCAGGGTAGCCTATGATCGGGGGGTGAAGCAAGAACTCTAGCAGCTGGTTGAGGACATTCTGGTGTTGTTCTGTCCAAGTTATAGACTGCCTGGAATTAAGTTGTGCTGGATTTCTCCCTTTTCCCACACCCTTCCTCCAGATTTCCCCTTTACCACCTGCTACCTTTCCTGGAGGCTTTCCTGATGACAATAGTTCATAGAGGGGTTTGGCAATTTGGGAAAAACTGGGAATATATGTGCGATAATATGACAAGAACCCCAGCAGTTGTCTCAGGTCACCTACAGTCTTAGGCTTACGGTCTCTTAGTGCTTGAACGGGTGCAATTTCTTTGGGGTCCATAGTGTAGCCCCCTTCAGAGACTATTTTACCCAAGAACTTCACCTCAGCCCTGAATAATTCACACTTCTTAGATGTGAGCTTCACCCCATGTCTCTGGTAACGGCGTAACACTTCTCTGACATCCCAGAGATGCTCCTCATATGTCTTACTGTGCACAAGGTTATCATCCAAGTATGGAAGGCAGGTGTCATCTCTTAGTCCTGCTAAACATTCCTCCATACTCCGCTGGAACTTGGCGGGGGCGGAGGACAGCCCAAAAGGGATTCGGACCCATTCATAAAGGCCCCAAGGTGTTATGAAAGCTGTGTATGGTCGGCTGCCCTCCTCCATGAACCCCTGATGATACGCCTTGCCCTGGTCCAGGACTGAGAACCATGCACTCCCACTTAAACTGTTTAGCATGTCCTGTACCCGTGGAATAGGGTGACGGTCTGGGATGGATTTGCGGTTGAGCTCGCGGTAATCTATACAGAGGCGTAAACTACCACCTTTCTTCCGTACACAGACGATCGGAGATGCATAAGAGGAGCGAGACTTCTGAATCCATCCTTTATTCAAAAGGTCTTCCAAATATTCTTTCACCTCTTTATGTAGTGGT